TTGGGCCTAAATTTGTAATAGAGTAGATTTGTATGGTCAGCTAATCCTACTAATCTACTCTCCTTCAAGTTTGTGCCGCAATAATAGACACCAGAGTCGTTCGAATCGCCATGCACTTCGCCACGCAATTTGTCGCTCGCATCTTCGGACGCACGTATGTACCCATACCCCTAGTCATGATCTCTCACTCTATCCTCCCTTTACCCCTACCCCTTACTCTCTCCTCCAATTACCCCATATCCCCTTTTCCCTCTTACCCTTCTTGACTTTTCGACGGGACTTCTTAAGCTACTACGTCATCTCACCGGAAATTCCTTACCAACAAGACGGCCTTCGAAAGCTACGGACGAAGGACATTTAAATAAATGTGGACGGCAATTACACAAACACATTGAACGTGATAGAAAACATCACGCAGTTTTGTCAGAAAAAAGAGCTGGGGGTGTGAAGTACGTGGGCAAACAGAGTAAAGAGCTGGTTCCAGGCATATACTTACTTGTTCGTGCTGACGGGAATCGCAATCGGAGTTAACGACTGGTCAATCGTAGTTTGTAGGAATAAAACAGCCTTTTGTTCTGACAACCACCGGGGGATTGTAGCTCAACTTTCTCGGAAGTACACCCTATTCCCATTAGACCCTAACAACAAACTGGTCAGCGGTGCTTTTCTAGTTGGTCCGCTGGTGGGCTCCACCGCAGCTGTCATTTCTGATCAAACTTTCCTTGTCATAACAACGCAATTCTATTTCCCATTCAATGGGCGACTAGAAACCGTTCTCCGATCATAACTTTCACTTAAAGCTGAGAAACTATTAGGATCGTGAGGCTACAATTAGTTTGAATCCCAGTAGGGAGTGGGAGAGCTAGGCTATGCGGAGCATGTGAAGACTGGAAGACCTTCAAAATTGTTGAAAATTTATATTCAGAAGCGAGAATCACACTTTACAAGTACAAGACATCAAAATAAGCAGCAGCAAGGATGTCTCAAGTATAGTAGTATCGCCAAACGACAAAAATGACTACAAATTAAATGAAAAGATATCACTGGCACCTTGGGCATGGGCATAAGGGTAATTTAAATTGTAATTGGTAAAAACACGTGAATCCTCAATATTGGGGATGAATAACAAGTAATTAGGTGTCGTCCAAAAAATACGGCTAGCAATTTGTTTTCTAGTTGTGCTCATGATAGAGAGAAATAGTCTCTAGTGAAAGATTATGCGCTTTTACGAGGAATTCCTACGATGCCGAATTTCATGGGGTCGTGAAGATAAAGACTGATAGGAACGCACTCAAAATTTTTTCAAGAACGGAATTTACAGCTTATTCATTGTTCTGGAATGTGAGTGGTGTCAGCGTTGAAGTGTCCGAAGTGAAATGAAAGGTTCCGAACTTAGAGATTCCGATCTACTTGCTATATACTAAGCTTAAGTATCTCTCCTTGAGTGTTTGAAAAGAAGCGTGTCTGTATTCTTTTGGTTTTCCATTATTACAAGTTGAATTTCACTTTCTCGATACAGAATGTTAGGTTCTTTAATCAGCTCGTCAAGCTCTCCAAAGTGGTGGGTACGAATTCGAAGAACCTCATTTTTTAGGTTCTTGCTCCATCAAACTTTTTTAGGGTACGCAACGAGCTCGCCATAATTATCACCAGAAGTCGATCGCTACCATTTCAGTAGTCAATGAGTCGTGAAATAACTATCCTGCTCCGAAATCAAACAAATAGTAGGCTCGCATTGTACTGATCACTTCGATACCATATGCATATAAGAGTACACTGATATCCTTCAGAATAAGGATAAGAAAGAATCTTCTGTTCAGATTATTATGATAAAGCTCTCAATAGATATCGCAAGCTGTGCGATCCGTCAAAGACACAGTTCACGATAAAAATGGTGACTGAATTTCCCCAACAGGATAAGTTTGAGTCCCGTGTATACCATACCTGGCACTATTGGGTCGGAAAACGTCCTAGTTAGGGAGTTATAAAGGCTCAAACATTGGCACGTGTGTATCCTCCCAGAAGAGTTTCACCAGCATTGTAGAGGCTGCGCGGATCACAAGGGAAGCCATGTAGGAAGTTCAGACAACTTGTCACGACCCATAGCGAAATTGTAAGACAGTTCTGCACAGTTCTGGCTTGATGTAGTCAGCTCTTTGTGCAATGGCGATAACTGAAACCTCGTCCGAATACCCCTTCCATGTTATTTTGCAAAAACCAATAGAGGCATTGAAAATAAAAAAAAACCACGACCTGAGTACCCAGCACTCAAAAGTTTTGATATCCTGATAATAATATCAAATTTAACAGTAAATCTTAAGGTTTCCTTTCTAAAAATACAACTTTCAACACCAAATTTGAGTGGCTAGAAATAATGTGAAAATTCTTAGTATGGATTTCCATTGCTTCAAAGTGGTCTGCTCTGAGTAAAAGCGGCACAGAAAAACTGAAACATCGATAAGTTGATATTAAGAAGAGTACGAGTATACCGAAATACCCTGCAAGAGAGGGCTTGGAAAGGGAAATCGATCACGCTGACGAAGAGTCAGATTTACATGTAATAATTATAGGCTTCGAAGAATTGTTTTTTATGTTGACAACGCTGGTCGGCAAGGAATGAGAGCCACAAATGGAAAAAGCCAAGAGAGTATTACCCAAACAGCACAAAATAAAAGTATTGAATCAGGGAATCATCGAAACACACTGTCATCAGGTAGTAGAGCATAGCAGGAGCACTGAATGTGATGTCATGAAAAAAATCCCGTTAGGAAGGATTGGAAGGGCGGTTCAGGCAGGCTACGCAGGTTTACATGGGAAGAGACACCGCTGGAGGAGTAAAAGTTTTCAATCAGCGAGTGGTACCATAAGTCAACTAAAGTTTTTTGACTCGGCCATGAACAATCTACTTTGGGATACGCCCATGCATTCAACCCCTCTTCGTCTTTAGACTATAGTAATCTTTCAATGCTATGTAGCATATTCAATGCCTGCGGGACCACCAGATGTGGAAGTCAGCTTTTTCATCTCCAGGAAAATTTTGGCATCAGATTCCCAAGCTTGAGAGGATTATAGGTTAACTTGCCACGCACTGGTCCGAGATTTCGGTTCCTGATCGTGCATGGAACGGAGGGCCACTTAGCATGCCCGCTCTCGCCTTCGCCCAAGTCACAGATGGGTGAACTTTCAAGAAGAAAACTCGAAGCAAAAGTTGCCACCTCTCAATACGACATGAGTTGGCATTGGACTTAGGCCGATCACGTCACAGGCTAGCCTACGTTCACTGTATAGATAAGCTCGAAGTAAGAGGGCAAAATCGATGTTGAAAATCGACAGACGGCGATACTCGGTCGTGTGAATGACCTGAATACTGAACGGGGCCCGGTCGCGATAAAAACGCTGTCGCCTTCCGTTCGGCAAACTCTTCCAACGAAGCGCTACGACAAACAACTGAAGAACTCAAAGATGACGGAAATTGCCGCAGTGACAAACGACGAGACATCAGCATATCACGAACTCGTATTCTGTACGGAAGGGCATCAGATGCGGTCTAAATGGTGTCCCGCCTTCCGTTCGGCAAACTCTTCCAACGAAGCGCTACGACAAACAACTGAAGAACTCAAGGACGACGGAAATCGCCTTCCGTTCGGCAAACTCTTCCAACGAAGCGCTACGACAAACAACTGAAGAACTCAAAGATGACGGAAATTGCCGCAGTGACAAACGACGAGACATCAGCATATCACGAACTCGTATCGGAAATTGCCGCAGTGACAAACGACGAGACATCAGCATATCACGAACTCGTATTCTGTACGGAAGGGCATCAGATGCGGTCTAAATGGTGTCCTTGTATTCCACTTGAAGATCCCTGTGTTTCCACCTATCAATTGTGCCTTAGGCTCTTCTTAGGTAACTGATCCCCATATTAGAATCCCGTTTCCTGCATCTGAGAGTCATATGAGTGGGCAGCCTCGTTGGATAGTAAGACGACCATTTGCTGAACATGAACACCGCCTCTTTGTCTCGCATCCATCAATAAATCTACACGTACAGTTCCTTTTTTTCAGATACTTCGTGATAATGACCACGATTTTATTCGCATTCCTTGAAGTAAGAAAATGTACTTTGTTCATTGCTAATGTGGTGGAACATGACGCAACTCACGTTGCAGCCTTCCTGCCTCAGGAACGAGCTACTGGAAAGCACCTACTGGAAACATTATTTTCATGATCATTGCGTGACCTTGGCTTTTTTAGTAACAAAACAGATATTGGAAAGGTGAAATGGCGAGATCCTCAGCGTTGTTCAACATCGTTTTAGAGTACATAGGTGTATTTGACTCCCAATCGAACCGTAATGTACTTGGATGCCCAGTTAGATTTACAATGACTACCTCCGACTGACCGATTTTCAACACTTACATTACAACTACAGCAGTTTGTCAATCCTTTGGAACAATTACGCCCCATAAGTCGATCGTAAAAGAGGGTCGAAGTTTTGTTGATGCGGACCGGTACATACCCGAACTTTGATTTCAAGTTCACACGTAGGGTAGCGGCGTCCCTCGGCAGCAGCCTATCTTCAACTTGAGAAAAAGTTGATAGGATCTGAATATTTGGAATCATGGGAGGAAGTGGTGTAGTGACAAGTGGAGCACCATCTCACACGCATGGTCAGGGGTTCGCATCCTGACTGCGCCTAAACTAGACAGGTCTTCCATCCCTCTGGGGTCGGTTAATTGGTACCAGACTCGTCTGGAACGATAAAAAGCACTGACTTGTACATCGGCTGGCTACCGCAAGTCATTGTATAAGTCACACACGCACTCATTAATCCACTACGATTCTGTATTAAATTCAAGGGCGGGGGCGCGTCCCTCAGACGGAATTGTTTAACGCCAAAACTTTATCCTTTCAATTTAGATCATGAGATCGAAGGATGACTGGTCCCTATGGGCTTCAATGATTGATAAGCGCAGATTTCGTCTATTGATCACGACGGTTGCGATGACGTTTAGCATGTTCTCACACCAGTTTGGCCTGATGCAGCAGCTGGTGTCTGTTCTTTTCTAGGCGAACTACGTGCTTTCCGCAGATTTTCACCTTCTTTGGCGATGTCTACACGTCTCGAGTGGGGGAATACCCATAGGTTATCGGAGAAAGGAAATATCCAACAGAAAGCAAAATACATCTCAAAGGAAGTACAGTCCAGTATAGGCCAAACAAAAGGCCACTGAGATTTTTGAATGAGGGTAGAATGAAACATCCTAGAAACAAGATTGGGCAACGCCAAAAGTTTTAAGGTCTCAAGATGTACGTAGGTGTATTTCCTAGCTGACAGGCACAGTAGGTTTTGCCTAATAATCAGTCCCTTTATAGCGATATGGCACCCTCTCACATTAGCCTAGGCCGGGTCCGAGAACTTCTCCCTAAACACGGCGTCGCACACGCCGCGCCCGCCGCGTATCGCGGGATCGCGATGTAAGATTGCAGCGCACAATTTGTGAGATAGGGAGTCCTTTAATTATTTGAATTGGCTGCCGCTCTTTTCAATTCCAACGCGGTCTTGATCGTCGTTTATATAGGAGGGGTCATTTAAATTAATCAAGTCTAATTAACATGAAAACGAAAAAGAAACAGAAGAAAAAACGATCAAATCCAATAAAAAAGCAAGGCAATTAACGAAAAATATCGCGTCCTATCGATTGGCGGGGAGGCGGGGTTAGTATGATAATTGTAGTGACATTTGCCGCATGCCGCAAGGGAGAGTGCCGCAATCGGGGAGAAGTTCCGTTACCCGCCTAGGCCTAGTGCAAACCTTTTTCACACTTAGGTACCTACGTGCCAAATGTTCAACTCCACCCGCGATGGCAACAAATCTTTAGTGTGGCGGGACGTCAAAATGTGATCAATCAGCCATTCGTAAGGTGCTATCCCAACAATTGCATCATGACAGATCGATAATGTACTTGTAATCCAGTTTTGTCAGTTTCCCACTCTTCCTTCCCTATCACAATCACTTGACAATGCAAATATCCTCTTGCATCGGATATACATGTATCTTCAGATGCGACCTCAGCACTTCTTGCAGTACTAGCGAGCATACAAATCATCAGTGGGTGGCTTGTACTGTATCTGTTGCACTGAGAGGATCTTATTACAACCACGTCACTATGAATTGATACCACAGAACTGGTTCGTTTCTCTATTCACTTGGCGATCATGTTCTTCTAGCAGTGCTCTTACACAACCGCCAAGGAGGACTGGTTAATGGGCATATTGATGCAACGGCAGTCAGTGATTTATATCACAGAACGGTTCCATTCAGAAATAGCTGCATTTTTACCAAATCCTTCAAAGACACTCAGTACGATAACTAGAGGGGTCGTAGCGCTGTGAAGTGTAAGCCATCTACAAGGGTGACGTACTTCTCCAATGTGGCTAGTCTCCTTGCAAATCGCGTAGCGCTCACCGCATCGCATCGCGCGCAGCCGCGATCGGGCGTGGCGAACGCGACGCGATTTTCGGGGAGAAGTACCATTACCCCATCTACAACAGTCACCCTCATCAATTCCAAGAACAAGAAGTAGAGCGTTTAGTAAAGCAGCCTGCAATAGACGACCAGTACATCGGGTGAGCACTCATCAGATGTTACTGAGTCCCAAAACTATACATTCAATTGTTTTGAGTAGGGATCGAATGCGTGAGAATCCATAAGATCGATGTTACCTCACGAAGTCTAAGAAAGGGTTCTAAACTTTTTTATTTTTGCTGATAATACAGTCTAAAAAGATACAAGGAATCCTTCGTTGCATCTCATCTTGTTGCAACCTTTTCAAAGTTCGAGACAGCAATTTTACCCTATGTCAACCGGTGCCTAACAGATTAAGAAAAGTTTTCCAATGAAAGGGAGTCAGGACTATTTAGTGGAGAGTAAAGCAAATCTTCGGGGTAAGAAAAAAATATCTAACGAAAAATGAAAAAAAAGTTCAGATTTTACGTCTGGAACACATTCGTCGTGTATTCCGTACAACTCAATAAAGTAGAACGATCACCTCGGCGGTTTGATAGATGCTTTCCATATCGCGGGAGGCTTGTATGGGCGGAGGTGGTGTAGTTACAAGTGGGCACTTCATACACTCGGGGTCACGGGTTCGAAACCCCTAGCCGATATTCGCCTACTCAAACTAACCCTTCCATTACCTCGGGGTCGGTTAAGTGGTACCACAATCGCCTGGGAGGATAAAGACCCTGAGTTCATCGGCTGGCGACCGCAAGCTACTGTATGGGCCACATACGCATTCAATACGCCACTGCGATTCTGAATGGAAGCCGAATGCGTGGGTGCACACCATTGACGGGATTGATTAAAGCTTCAAGACTTAATCCCTTATCCTTGTGATTGATTAATATAGGCTCACCAAAGTGACAGCAAGAAGAAGAGTCGTGATAAGAGAACATCAATGAGACGGTAAAAAAGTTAATAGAGCAAGCCAGAAGAAGGATTTGCGAGATGAGGAATGATACCTACAGCTGGGGATGCCTAACGCCTGAACTTTTTACAGCAGCATCAACTACGGGAATGTGAGGGCGTTTTTCTCGAGTACTTTAAGGTCGCCCTGACTTTTTTCTTTTTAAACAGGCCTTTCATCTTCTTTGAGTGAATGCGGAAACCAATCAAACTCTAGGCAAGGTGTGAGGCGGAAGCTTGAACAACATCTAAAAAGTGCATAATGCTGGGAAACCTGTGTTGGTAAACGTGAAACATTGAAATGTAGATCTTTCCGTCGTAGGTTAAGAAGCTCGAGAGGACTTTTCGATAGTACCTCTATCCCCTCTATGTTATCAAAAAGCTATAACTGTATAATTATTAGTATATTTCCCTTCAATAGAAACCATATAATCATGCTGTGCCTCTTACAAACTGCACCATCGAGATGTAAAGAGGATGGCGTGGAGGTTGTTTCTATACAGTATGCCTCAGCTTTTTACATAGACGTACACTCAACCAAAAAACGCTTCAGTTGGGTAGAACTCGAGAATTCCAGTACATCGACTGTGTACTTACGGCGCCGAAAACTTGCAGGTGGTGAGCTGCAGTGGACAAGTTTCTTGGCATGAAAGCAGCCAAACTCACAAGTTTCTCACATATTCCCGTTAGGGAGAGTCGATCCCGAGCCCTTCCTCTGCTTCACAGAACAAGGATTATAGAGCTATCTCGTCTCAAATGGATAAATGGATGCAGATTTAGATGAGCGTTTTTTATAGGGTTATCCAGTATTGGCCGAAAGTAGCCATAAATTTGCAGAAAACACCAAATTCAGGCTTTTGCTTTTTTCTCACACAAGCCGATTCAGAATGACCTTCTTTTAAATTCCCTGAGGAACTAACTTGATTTGGTTTTTTTTTCGATTTCAGCTCCCCAGGCTCTACAGTCTTGCTGCTGGGGCTTGAAACCCTGCAAAAGCTCCATTGAGGAAAAGCATGCTTCTAAGACACATTCCCAAGTTTAGAGAGTTATTTCGCTGTCACTTGAGAAGATAGCCATGGAGTCGATGAGCAGATCCGGCCCTCGTCACTGTGTTGCACGAATTTCACAGTCGATACGACCTAAAATAAACGTTTCCCGTGATGTATGGCCCCCGATACCAGTACCGAAATAAGGATAATTATAAAGGATAAAGT